GTCGCGGAGAACCTAACGGGTAACCGGGGCTCCGACTCGACGTGCAGGAGAAGGAACGGGGTGGTTTTTAGTCAGTAAGAGTCTGACACTCCCTCCCGCCTCACCCAGGCGGGAGCAGTCATTCGATGATTTTCCCCCCTTAAAAAAAAAGTCTGATGTTTTATTGTCTATAACCTTCATCGATAAATGGACTATCCAACACTAAAAGAATTACTCAATTCGGACGCGTAGTTTCGGAGACTAGCGCGTTCAAACAAACAAACTCTTGAGTTTTATATAATACACATTGACATTTTATTGTAGAGGGCGCTGCGATCGTAAATTTCTACCACATGTTTTTTGTCTATTATACGTGTTTTAATGACATGAAGTCGTAGGTTCCCCAATACCCCATCAATTTCGGCTAGTTGCAAATCGTATGTTATGAACCGAGTCTCTTGCTAGAACCAAATCAATGAAGATCTTAGCTCGACCAAATTGCAATGATTACAATGTCCCAGGCTACGTGACTAGCAGTAGTAGCTTGCACGCAACCACCAGACCAGTCTAACTACCAATAAATTATTCTGTAATTACGATAAGTTATTTAACCCCATAACCCATAGAAATACATATTTCAAGGTCACGATCATTCATTCAACCATGCATTATAAATTATCTTGTTAATTTTATAGTAGACTGTCAAATTAGTTGTCTACTTGTCTTCGTTATTGGTTAGGTTAGTCCAAATTTAAATCCAATGTGGAGCAAAAATTTCGTCTCATATTAAAATGATCCTTAAAATAACCACCAATGGAATGAAATTGGCAATAGAAGAAAATACTGAAAGAGACTGCGCTTTTTTGTGCCATTAGGCTTAAGTCATTCCAACCCCTTAAAAAATTCACCGAGAGAAGTGAAAACTATCGTTTTTTTTTTCTCCTCTATTAATATCTTCTGATTTATTTCGTTGCGGAATCCAAGACAGTTATTCATGTCCCTGAGACTTCAGTGTTCCGGTGTTTTCGTGGTTGTATCTACGGCAGATCCTGGCTTACAGAAGTTGCAGCGGTTTTGGGAGGTTGTGGCGGGCTTGTCCTTAAAGAAATAGACGAAAACAGTCCTAATGTATTATATGTATTATGTACTTACGATACTTCAAATTAAGTCGCGCTTGAGTATAGTTCTGTCACTACAAATTCTTTGTAAAATGACAGAGATGGCACGATATTTAAGTACAAGTTACATAACATAACATCACGTCTTTTATCCCCGAAGGGGTAGACAGAGGTGTGCAATATGGTACAGTTACAGTAAAAGTTAAAATTGAGTAAACTTTCAGTATTAGCAACGTATTTATTTCTAACATAACAACTGACAAAATGATCAACGTTAAACTACGAACTAACAAATGAACTGAAGTAACATAAAAATAAATTGGATGTCAGCAACATCATGGCCCGTTGAAGGCCGACATAGTGCAAAAAACGTTTCATTATGTGGCCGATAATAGATCTACAACCATTGTTACAATGTCGA